GTAACCACTTTTGAGAAGCAGCAGTGATCACTCCAGAGCTAAAGAGAACCATAGTCCCTGCGCGTAATCACTTTCGTGAGTGATAATGATCACTGCAGAAAGCCCAACAAAGGACCCTGCGTGTAACCACTTTCAGAAATGAAAGTGATCACTCCAGTGAAGACTAAACTAACACTCTGCGCGTGTTCACTCTCATAAGTGAGAGTAACTACGCGCGCTCAAAGTAACTGCTATTATACACAAGAGTAATCACTACAGAAATGGGAAAACCTGAAGAATGTTGCGTGTATTCACTCTTGTTTACAAGAGTGATCACTATGAAGTGGCGTCAGACATAGTATATATAGATTTTTGGGAATTAGGTTAACAACTTTTACACACTTTAAGATTTCTTACCAATTTAGGAACGCTTGGAGAGCCTAGGTCTGCCTTGGGTGCAGCCAAGGGTCCAACCTAAGGTTTGAATTTCATTTCTTCTTCACTTTTCTTTGATTTTCATCTTGATGTTATTGATTTCTCTTTATTTTCATCTTGTAATGGTGAGACTCATCCTTGTGGAAGGGTAATTTTCTTGTAATCTCTAGTGAGTTCATATGAATTCTTGAATTCCTAGATTTTGAATGTTAATGTAATTCCTTTTCTTTCATGATTTTCTTCTTCCTAATCTCTTGAATTGAATTAATGGTTGAATGAGGGAGACATTGCTTAATTAACCCTAATTCATTTTAATGAGATTCTAAACTTGAATTGCTTAATGCTGAGTTTATTTCTAAGGTCGCGTAATCTTGGGATGAGAGATTAGAGTCCATTGAATTACTTAATTCACATGGAAACATATGATTGATTTTTGCTTGTTAAATTAACCTATTTCTGAGAGGAGATGAAGAGTATTAAATCTTGAGAGAAATAGGGATAGAGTCTACATGAAAGAACTAGGGGTTACCACTTTCTATTGATTAAACTTTATAATTTTGTTTCTTGCTTTTTACATTGATCTTGAAATCACCAAACCCCTCCCCTTTGTTTACTTGCTTTCTGAATACACTGCACACCATAAGTTTGATATTTGATTACTTGTCCAATGATTCATGGGAGACGATCTAGGTTAGCACCCTAGTATTACATTAATTTCTATTTATATTTTGATGAGGATTCACGACAAATCTTTCATTCATCAAGAATTCAACCCCCCATTTCATGGTAGCTTTCCATATTTCAGAATTCCATGCACTCTTTGTTTAGGATTTTTAAGAGCATGGTCTGCACAAAACATCACAATTATTCATCAATTAACAAGCAAAAGTCAATTAAACTTAAAACTAGTAAATATTTAAAGCATAATTGTTTATAACCAAAGTTAATCCAAAATGTAATTACAACTGCAAAAGTCTAAAAACTAATTACAAACTGTCTACACAAATCAACTACATGACAAAAATTAAAATGCCTAAATTATTCTTCTGCATCCTCCTCATTGAGGTATCTTGCTCCAAATCATCTTCTTCTTCATCCTCTTCTTTTTCTGCTACTGTTGCTGTTGGTTATGGGAAGTAAGTCCTATAGATAGGAAGATCTTTGAAAATTGTGGACCTAAGGCACTGAGCATTTTCTGTCACTTTTGGTGTGTGGTACAATTCATCTTTAGTCATTCCCATCTTTTGACCAATGTTCATTAAGACACATTCCAGCAACATTATTTCAGACTTCACACTGCTATACAACTCATTTTGCCTTTCAGCCAATGAATTCTGTCTTTCAGCTAAGAATGTTATTTTGTCCTTCATCTTCATTGAATTTTCTCTCTTGAACTGTGATGGTAAAGGAGCTGCTACTGTTCAGGAGGTAGTAGCATAGATTTCCTTCACCATTGCTACGATTGCTACTTTGATTCTTTCCTAGTAGTCACCAAATTCTATCCCTGCATCCTCACACAACACAGTTATTAATGAAGGAAAAGCTAAAGAATCTCTTTTTCTTTTCAGGATGCCTAAGATACATCCACTAATTACTTCCCTTACATTAATATACATATCATTCACTATAGCAAATAAAAGTTCATCCCTTTTTACTACTAAAGTGGAACTATGCTTCACTGGCATGAATGAGCTGAGAATGAAGGCACTCCACACTTTGGCAAATGGTAGGAGGTTCTTGGTAGTAATGCACTTGGGTTTCTCTGTTGTGTTCAGCTTCCATGTGGTCCTTGGTCTTCCAATCCTCTGCATGATTTCAACATAGTCCTTGTTTTGAAGGTCCTTGAAAGCACTGAACTCTTGCTGTCCAGGTTGTTTTTGAGTGTTGATGTTGAGGACTTTGTTGATGTTGGCTGCAGAAAAATCAACCCTTATTCCCTTGACCATTGTATGGTATTTTGGTATCTGATCTCCCTCCAGCCTATGCCAGCCATTGAACAGAAGGATTCCCACTCTCTTTTTTGAATCTTTTCTTTGTATTCAGGGTAATTATCTGCAGTAATGTCAAAAGCTTTGTCTTGGACTATTTTCCTCCTTAGAATATTAGCTCTGAAGTAGTTTTCATGAGCTATGCTTCATAATGTTGGATCATGTGGAGGAATTGGTCTTGAGGAAGCAACTCCTACTAGTCTACCCCTCTTTGTTCTTAGGGTTCCACTTGAAGATCCAACTGGAGTATTTTCAGATGTTCTGGCCATTTCTCAGATACCTGCTACAAAATTCATTTGAAAATGCTAAGATGTACTCTGCTGCATCATAAAAAAAAATGCAGATGCACATACCCATAATGAAATGCAAAATGCAGATATCAACATTATTAATCAAAATCATAGAAATTACAACTTACAGTTCCAATGTACAACAAGACCAAACTGGATATTAACTATTTCCCTAGCCTTTAGTTCTAACACAGAACATCAGTTTAATGCAAACGAACATATTCAGAAATTGAAAAAAAAAATTCAATAAGATCCCTTAGGTCAACTTACTAAAATATCACAATGTAGGTACAATTCTGCTAATGAATTTGTCAAATGATGTGAGAATTGAGCTACATTATCCTTTAATTTCAGGTTCAGAACAATTAATGTCAGAAAAAATCTCTCAGTTTTCGTATTCAAAATTTTCCAAAATTTTTAACAATGACAAACCCTAATATCTGTTATAGAAACGAAGAAGAGCTTACGTGGAATAGAGTTGCTGCAATGTAGACTCAAATGTGCTAGAAAGGACAGATTGCTAGAGCAAACAACTCACAGAAGATGAAAATTTTAGAGCAATTATGAGAGAAATGTGATCTTAGGTTTTTGGATTGTTTCTGCGTGTTCACTCTTTTCTGGATATATAGTCACGCAGATGCACGTGACCCCATTTAAAAGGAAAAGTGAACGTTTTAAGAGTTGATGTTATGAGCGTGTTCACTATTGTTGGTGAAAGTGAATGTTCTAGAGACTTTAATTTTTGAATGAGAAAAAGTGATAATGCGCAAGCTTACTCTTTGAGTGTGGTTACTATTTTCAATTAAGGGAGTAACGCGCAAACTGATACCTCATGCTTACCTGCGCGTGGCCATTTTACTCAAGAAAAGTGGTTGTTTCAAAGAGGTGTGTTATCCTTGTATACTCTGCGTGATCACTTTCACAAGGGAAAGCGATCGTTCCAGAGAAGAGCTTTCTTCGTAAACCTCTACATGATCACTTTTGCAAGGAAAAGTGATTGTTCTAGAGAGGAACATCAGACTTCAACCTCTGCGTGGCTCCTTTCCTGAAAAATAGTAATCTCTTTCATTAATCAAAGCTCTTTAAAAGCTCAAATAGCTCACTTATTCAATCCTAATCCCTTCACTACACACTTACAACATAAAACCTCAATCCATTCAACAGATTAACTCCAAAATGCAGAATCACAACAATTAGAATTGTAAAAATTGAAATGAAATGAATATCAAAATTCAAGTACAACTATAAATAAGGTAAATTAGTTCAGAAATGTCAGTTGCCTCTCACAAAGCGCTCTTTTAACGTCACTAGCTTGACGTTAAATGTTCCTCACTACTGAGGAACCAAGTTAATGTAGAAGTTATTCTGATGACTTCTACTCCATGGTAGATCTTTAACCTTTGGTCATTTACTTTAAATTGTCTCCTTTCTTTCTGATCTTCAAGTAGCACAGCACCAAAGGGATAAACTTCTTTCACCATAAAAGGTCCTGACCATCTTGACTTGAGGTTTCCAGGAAATAACTTCAATCTAGAATTGAATAGCAGAATTAGTTGCCCTGGTCTGAATTCTCTCTGTAAGATGAATTTATCATTTCATATGCAAATTGTCTGAATTCTTGAAGCTCATGTAACTGCAGCATTCTCTCTTCTTCAGCATTGGTTAAATCAAAATTTAACCATTTAGTGGCCTAGTATGCTTTATGTTCAAGTTCAACAGGAAGATGACATGCCTTTCCAAACACTAATTGATATGGTGACATACCAAATGCTGTTTTGAATGCAGTTCTATATGCCCATAATGTGTCATCCAATTTCTTTGACCAATCCTTCCTTGAACTATTAACTACTTTCTCCAAAATTTTCTTGATTTCTCTGTTAGAAATTTCAACTTGTCCACTGGTTTGAGGATGGTAAGGTGTGACTATTCTGTGTTTTACTCTATACTTTTCCAGAACAGATTGAAGGTATTTGTTGCAAAAGTGGGACCCTCTATCACTTATCAGAATTCTTGGCACTCAAAATCTTGCAAATATGTTCTTCTTTATAAATTAAATCACCATGTTAGCTTCATTTGTTCTGGTTGGTATAGCTTCAACTCACTTAGACACATAATCCACTACCACAAGAATATATTCATGAGAAAAAGAGGTTTGAAAAGGTCCCATAAAGTTTATTCCTGTCACATCAAACAGTTCCACCTCCAAAATGTTGTTCAAAGGCATTTCATGTCTTCTAGAAATGTTGCCTACTCTTTGGCATTTGTCACAGCTCTCTACATAGACTTTTGCATCTTTGAACAATGTAGGCTAAAAGAAGCCTGCTTGTAAGACTTTAGCATCTGTCCTAGAACCTCCATGATGGCCTCCATAATCTGAATTGTGGCAGTGCCATAAGATATCAGCTTGCTCTTTCTGTGGAATGCATCTTCTCAATATACCATCCACTCTAATTTTGAGTAGATGACGATCCTCCCAAATGTAGAACTTGCTGTCATGAAAAAAATTCTTTCTCTGCTGCCAACTCATTCTCTTTGGAATATGCTGAGTAGCCTTAAAGTTTGCTATATCAGCAAACCAAGGCAATTCTTCCATAGCTAGCAGCTTTTCATCAGGGAACTCCTCATTAATGTCACAGCAATTTGATTGCAGTGCTTTCAAAGGTATTATGGACAGATGATTTGCAACACCATTGTCCTTTCCCTTCTTGTCTTTAATTTCCAAGTCAAATTCTTAGAGTAGCAGGATCCATCTCAACAGTCTTAGTTTAACATCCTGTTTAAAAAGCAAGTATTTCAAGGTAGCATGGTCAGTATATACCACAACCTTTGATCCTACCAAACAAGATCTGAATTTATCAAAAGCAAAGATTATAGGAAGCAACTCTTTTTTAGTAATTGTGTAATTAATCTGTGTAGATTTAGGACTCTACTAGCATAGTAAATCACATGCAGTCTTTTATCTTTTTTTGTCCTAACACAGCACCTATTGCATTGTCACTTGTATTACACATAAGTTCAAATGGTAAAGTCCAGTCAGCTTTAACAAGTATTGGAGCAAAAATTAATTCTCTTTTAAAATGAAAAAAGCATTCAAACATGATTCATCAAATACGAATTCTGCATATTTCACAAGCAAGTCACTAAAAGGTTTGGCAATTTTAAAAAAAATCCTTAATGAACCTCCTATAGAACCATGCATGGCCTAAAAAGCTTCTAATTCCTTTTACATTCATAAGTGGAGGTAATTTACTAATCACTTCTATTTTATCTTGATCAACCTCCATCTTTCTCATAGAAATCTTATGGCCAAGCACTATTCCTTCTTGAACCATAAAGTGGCATTTTTCTCAATTCAACACCAAATTAGTGTCTTGGCATCTCTGCAAAACAATGGACAAGTTAGATAAGCAGTCATCAAATGAATCTCCAAACACAGAAAAATCATCCATGAATACTTCAATTATTTTCTCAACTAAGTTCGAAAAATAGCAAGCCTACACCTTTGAAATGTGGCTGGAGCATTACAAAGCCCAAAAGGCATCCTTCTTTATGCAAATATTTCAAATGGACAAGTAAATGCAGTTTTTTCTTGGTTAATTAGATCCACAGCAATCTGGTTATAGCCAAAATATTCATCTAAAAAGCAATAAAATGCATGACCAACTAACCTTTCTAACATTTGGTCTGCAAAAGACAGAGAAAAATGGTCTTTCCTGGTCACATCATTCAGTTTTTTATAATCTATGCACATCCTCCAGCCTGTAACTGTCCTTGTAGGTATCAATTCATTTTTTTCATTTGGTATCACAGTCATTCATCCCTTTTTAGGTACCACTTGTACAAGACTTACCTAACTGTTGTCTGAAATTGGATATATAATTCCAGCATCCAAGAGTTTCATGACCTCCTTTCTTATCACTTCCTCCATAGAAGGGTTCAGTCTTCTTTGAGGTTGCACAATTGGTTTAAATTTCTCTTCAAATAAAATTCTATGTTTACAAAAAGCTGGATTAATACCTTTCAAAATTGTTATGCTTCATCCTATTGCTGACTTGTGTGCTTTCAAGATTCTCAACAACTTTTCTTCTTCTTCTTCCTTGAGTTGATTGCTGATTATGACTAGATTTTCGTAATTTTGATCCAAAAATGCATATCTCAAGTGAGAAGTCAGCTGCTTGATTTCTAACTTCTGAGTTTGTTCTTCTTCTACTTCCTTGATTGATTTCTCTACAGGGGTCAGAACTGGTAAGGTTTCCAATTGCTGTACAATTTCCATAAGGTGTTCTTCCTTATGCATCACATATTTAGTATTTCCTGTAGCTATGGTTTCTCTCAACACAGAAATTTTATCAAATTCATAAAAATGATAAGGATTAATAAGAGAATCCAATATATCCACTCTCATACATGAGTTATCATCAATTGGATATTTGAGTGCTTCAAAAACATTAAATATTACATTTTCATCTTGCACTCTAAGCATGAGCTCTCCCTTTTGAATATTAATAAGAGCTTTTCCAGTTGCAAGGAATGTTCTTCCCAAAATCAAAAGTATATTTGCATCTACTTCCATGTCTAGAATGACAAAATCTGTAGGAAAAATAAATTTGTTAACCTTAACCAACAAATCTTCTACAACTCCATATGGATTAGTGAAAGATCTATCAGCTAATTGTAGTGTAATGTCAGTTGGTTTCACTTCTTCTATTCCCAACTTCTTCATAATAGCTAGAGGCATGAGATTGTTGCTTGCTCCTAGATCACATAAAGCTCTTCCCACAGTACATTTTTCAATTTCACAAGGGATGCTAAAGGATCCTAGATCCTTGAGTTTTTGAGGAAGTTTTCTTTTAAGAATAGCACTACATTCTTCTGTTAATGGTACTGTCTTGTCATGTTCCAACTTCCTTTTCTTGGAAAACAATTCTTTCATGAACTTAGCATAAGATGGCATCTGCTCCAATGCTTCTGCAAAAGGAATGTTGATTTGTAGTTTCTTCAACATATTCAGAAATCTTTCAAATTGCTCCTCTTGCTTAGGATTCTGCACTCTTTGAGGATAAGGTAACCTTTTATATTTTTCTGGATCAATTGGTCTGCAAGCATCTTCAAAGAGCTGCTTCTTTGTCTTTCTCTCAGAACTTGTAGAAGCTTCTACCTTATTTTTTGAATGTTCTCTCTTTAGTAGCTTGAAATTTTCTTGTTGCAGATCTTTTTCTATTCTTCCCTCTTTTGCTGCATCACTCACTTTCTTTTCTGCAAGTTTTGGACTGGCTACCACAACTCCACTCCTTGTTGTTATAGCTTAACACTGCTTTTTTGGATTTATCACTGTGTTACTTGGAAATCTTTCCTCATCTCTATTCGCTAGTTGTTCAGCCAACTGTCCAATCTCAGTTTCTAACTTCTTCATGGAAGCTTCTTGATTTTTAATGCTGGTTTGAGTGACCTTCATGAACTACAACATTGTCTCTTCAATCTCATTCATTCTTTCATTCATAGGTCTAGATGAATTTTGACTTCTTTGAGGTTGAGTAGAGGAATTTCCTTGAAAATACTGTTGCTGTTGTGAATTTCTTGCATTCAAAAATGGAAGAGAGAGATTAATGTTTTCCACAGCAGAATTTTGAGGATCCCATTTGTAAAATTGTTGATTCTTGTTATTTGGATATTGGAACCCAGGAGGAAATGATTGCTGAGGGAAACATTGCTGCTGTCTTTGATAATTCCCCATATAATTGACTTGCTCTTGTGGATCTGGTGTAGGTACATCACATGCACCATTAACATGATTCCCTCCACAAAAATTACAACTCAATTGATTAGTTACAACATTTCCAGCTTGTAGATTGTTGATCTGCTGAGTCAAAGCTGCTATTTGCTCAGATAATAATTGATTCTGCATCTAATTCTATGTAAGATAAGTTTTTATAGCTTTAGCTTCATATCCATTACTTCTCCTTGCATGTCTTGAGTTGGAATTCTGGTACATAGATAAAGTCATCATCTCAATAATTCTTTGAGCTTCTTCTAAGGATTTCATGCTTAAAGAGCCTCCTGCAGCTGCATCCACCATGGTTCTAGTCACTACATTCATTCCATTATAAAAAGTTTCCAATTGCATCCACTCTGGAATACAATGATGTCGACATCTTTTCATCAACTCTTTATATCTTTCTCAAGTTTCATATAGTTATTCTCCTTCCTGCTGCACAAAGGATGTAATTTTCCCTCGCAGTTTGGTAGCTTTTGATGGAGGAAAATACTTGGTTAAAAATTTGTTTACAAGTTCTATCCATGTGGTGATGCTCCCTTGAGGTTGTGCTTGTAACCAACACTTGGCCTTGTCTCTCAAAGAAAATGGATATAGCCTCAATCTTATAGCATCTTCACTCACTCCATTCATCCTTATAGTATCACATAACTGCAAAAAAATAGAAATATGCAAGTTAGAATCATCATAAATTCTACCAGAAAATTGATCCTGTTGTACCAAATGAAGTAAGGCTGGTTTGATTTTAAAATGATTAGCTTGAATGGTTGGTCTAACTATTGAAGAATTATAGCCCTGCATATTTGGAATTGCGTAATTTTCTAGTGTCCTCATTCTATGTTGTTCTACCATTTCAATTTCTGGAGTTATCTGTCCTAAAGGTGAATGTGTTTTATGCAGAAGAGGAGTAATTTGAACTTTTGGAGAATGTATAGTTTCTAAATCACTATCACCTTCTACAGAACTTTCTGCTATAGCCTCTTTTCTTAATCTTCTTAAAGTTTTATCTATGTCAGGATCAAAGACAAGAGTAGACTTATTTTTGTTTTTACCACGCATATACAGTTAAAGTGAAGTGAAAATGTGAAAAATTAGAAAACTGCAGAATTTGTACACAATTTTAGAAACAAACACAGATATAGAACTGCACTGTTTCAATATACAACTAATGAAACTACTTATAAAAATACAGAAATCTATCAGAAATAAAATTATGAAGGTAAAGAGTTAACTACTAAATTGATTTTAGAACAAAAAAAATTCTAAATGTAATTCTGATATTGTAGAAGATTAAAGAAAACAAATGCTCAATCTAGTTATTTTCCTATTACTAATGATATTGAAAACAACTATTCCCCGGCAACGACGCCAAAAACTTGTCACCTTCTCAACAAAAGTAATTTTGACTAGCAAGTGTACTAGTGTTATTGTAGCAAGTTATAAAATTTTTAGGACTATGTTTGAGTCCAAAATATCATTCTCAAGGAATAGAATTCTCAAATATCACTTCACAAGTCCATAATTAGTTGAGCCTAAAGCAATTCATTTGAAATTTGTAATGTTTGAAAGCAATTGATGAAAAGAAATTTGTCGCGACTCCTCATCAAAATATAAACAGAAATTAATGTAATACTAGGATGCTAACCTAGGTTGACTCCAACGATAATGGTTGAGAATATGCATCAAACATGTTAAAATTATTAATTACAAAAGCAATTGATTAAAGGGGGTTTGTGTAGTTCCAAGGTTGAAATTAAGAACAAGAAGTGAAATTATATAGTTCAATCAATAAAAAGTAGTAATCCCTAGTTCATTTACATGGACTATATCCTCATTCCTCTCAAGATTTTAATACTCTTCCTCTCCTTCCAGAATTAGGTTAATTTAGCAAGCAAAAATCAACCTTATGTTTTCATATGAATTAAACAATCCAATAAACTCCAATCTCTCATTCCTTGATTACACAATCTTAGAATTAAACAAGAATTAAGCAATTCAAATTTAGAATTTCATTAAAACAAATTAGGATTCATTACGCAATGCTCCCCTCATTCACCCATTAATTCAATTCAAGAGATTAAGAAGAAAAAATTCATGAAAGAAAAGAAATTATATTAACATTCAAAACCCAAGAATTCAAGAGTCTAAATGAACTCTCTAAGGATTACAAAAGAGTTTAGCCCTCCATGAGGATGAGTCTTACAATTATCATGAAAATAAAAGGAAAAAACCAACATTAATACAAGAATTAAAGAAAGCTAGGAAGAAAATGGAAATCAAACCTTAGATTTGGTCCTTGGCTGTCACCCAAGGATGACCTAAGCTCTGCAAGCGTTCCTAAATTGGTAAGAAATCTTAAGGTATCAAAAAGCTGTTGACCTAATTTCTAAAATTCTATTTATAGTGCAGAAGTCGTCACTCATAGTAGCTACTATGGTTTCATAGTGGCTACGCGCAGGTGTCCCTTGCTATTGACTCTCTCTAGAGTGTTCACCTTGAACTCACAGTGGTTACGCGCAAGACTGGGTGAAATTGGCTTTCTCTGGAATGTCCACTTTGGGTTCATAGTAACTACGTGCAAGTCTGGGAGATTTTTGGCTTTTTCTGTAGTGAATGATTGCTTGTGATTATACTTGTGTAAAAATGTATTAGAAATGATGTGAAGTATGTGCAAGGTGGGACTCTATGTTTGATTGTGTGTTGGGTAGTGTAGAGTACTCACTCACTCTTACATTCATTTTTCAGGTAACCAATATGATTAAGACCGGACTCAGTGAAAGGGGTGGATGGAACTGCTATAGGACTTAGGATATTATTTTGAAACTTGATGATGTATTTGAACTGGTCCTGTACCAGTCATTTGATATAAACTTGTAACTCTTACCTCCATTTCAAAATATTTGATGAAATTATGTGTTAAAAACTTTATTTGAATGGAAATTTTATTATTCTGAATTTATGAAATTTATTATTTATTTGAAATTAAATTTAAGGTGTTACAGAGAGCATTTTGAGAAGGGAGAAACACGGAAAACAAACAAAATAAGAGAGCTAAGCTCCAAGAACTTACTTGGAGTTGATTATATTAACTTCCAAGCTTAGATTCGGAGGAAGGTCAAAGTTTAGGGGAGATTTCTGAGAAGGGAGGGTTAGAGGTCAGAGAGAACATGGAAGAGCTCTACACTTAGATTATAATCCAAGTTTTCTAAGTTGAAAACCCTTAAATACCCTCCAGCTCGCGATATTCTCGCTATAGCTATAGATTCATTTTGCTGTAATAAGCAAAAAAAAATCAGACAAAATTTTATTTGTTGTCTATCGTTCTAGCTATAGCGAGAGCTCCTCGCTACAGTGAGAGAATCTTCGCTATAGCGAGAGAGCGTTAGCAAGCCTAATTCTGGACGCCCTTGTCTCACTACAGTGAGAGATATCTCACTACAACAAGATAATTTGTAGCTTACACCATTTAAACTCTCCAAAAAGTAAATAACTTCATAAATACAACCAACATTCAGTGCTATAATAATAAATATAAAAACAAGGATGTTATAAATGTAGCTTCGTCCCCATGCTTATCCTTTGCTCTGCACTCCCTTGAAGAATGTCAAGTCTCTATTGTACCTCCACTTTGTTTTTGGGATCTTCTTAATTTAGGACAATTAATGAATTCTCGCTTGAGCAAACCACAACTCGCTCAAGCGAAATCCACACAAAAGTGCCTGACAACTCTAGACAATCTTGCTCAGGCAAGCTCTCTTCTTGCTCAAGCAAGATTGAGGCAGAATGCAATATTGATCAGCTTGAGGTTCTCGCTCAGGTGAGTTGTGCACTTTGCTTCTTTCTCTTCACTCTTTTTTCATCAAGCCTTCCTTTTAATATCTAGCACAAGAAAAAAAGGATCAAATGCCTTCATATAATTAATAGACTTAAGACTATAACTGCTAAATATAAATGGCTAAACTTTAAATGACATGAAATGTAAATTGAATGGATTAAAAGGAAATTTAATTACAAACTAATTAAAAAGGAATCAAATAGGTGCCAAAATATAAGTGAAGACTACTAAAATATGACACTTATCAATACCCCACACTTTCTAAGGCAACTACATAATTTACATCTCACAACACTCTAAAAAGAGAGTATAAATGAAAGTTACATATAGTTTGAAGGGTTTTTGACCGCGGTAACTTGTTACAAACAATTTGAGGTCAATATATAAGCATTGGCCTCCCTCTTCCTTTATAAATCTAAACAATGTGAGACTTGTTCTAAGATATTTTATTTCAACTAACTCCACAATCTCCATTTTGATTGAAATAAATTCATCTTTTATTTCACTATCTACATTAACAAACATAGTTCAAAAGAACTATCATACTCCATCATCAAGAGTATAACACACTTTGCATCAATGTCACCCAATGCTAACATGTTATTACTACACACCTCGCAATAAGGCCAAGCCATGTTTTTGTGTTATCCCTACATATCTTGCATTAATCTTAACCCTTATATGTCATCACCACACCCCTTACATTAAGGCCAACCAATGCTTGTATGTTATCACCATATATCTTGCATCAATGTTAACCTTTGCATGCTATCATCACACACCTTGCATTAAGGCCAACCAATGCTTGTGTATTATCACCACACATTTTGAATCAATGTTAATCCTCACATGCTATCACCATATACCTTGCATTAAGGTCAACCAATGTGTGTATGTTATTATTACACATCTTACATCAATGCTAACTAATGCCTATGTACTACCAATACACATCTAGTGTCAATTTTTTATGTCAAACTTCATAATATAATATTCCATTAAGTCAGATCTTATTGCTCTAATTCACTTATTAGGAAGTACGAGGAAGGTAAAACGCCAACAATATTTATTTCAATGGACCATGAACAAATTATACAAAGAGACTTGGATCACACATCCAACTGAAAATCTTAATGTTATGTTTGGATGTGTTAATTAAAAATTTGAAAGAATTTAAAAATTTAATAAATTTAAATTATATAATTTAAACTTCTATTATTTAAAATATAATATTTTGTTAGGATAGAATAATTGAATTTTCTTCATTTGAAATTTTTTGTTTAGATAGAGTAATTAATTACATACATTCTAAAAAAGTTATCATTATATTTGAAAAATTAATTAAAAATATAAAATTTAAACCACAACTAAATAAAAATCTAAATGAAACACACAATAAATAAAAAAAACAATTTTAAATTTTCATTCTTTTATTAGAGTTTAGAATTAATTGATTTTAGTATATTAAAAATATTCATTAATTATTAAAATTTTAAATTATTTTAAATTAAATGTTTAAATAAAAATTATAACTCATAAAATTGTAAATTCTTTTAAAAAATAATATTCACTTAAAGTATTTTATCTAATTAGACTCTAAAACTTTAAGTTATGAAGTAATATCACTTATATATTGCTTAATGCTTAAGTTCTCAATTCATATTTAATGTGAAACTTTTTTTAATTAATTAATTTATTTATTTGCACTAACGTAAAGAAGTCCTTAATTTGCAAGTTTATTTTTTTTACTTTATCTTTGTTAAATATATTATATGATATTTGATATTAAACGGTTAAACCGTTATCAAACAAAGTTATTTGTGCAAAAAAATACCAAAAGTAAGAAAGCTCGATTCAATTCTCTTTTCTTATTTTCTAATCTTATTTTTAATATTAATTTAAAGTTTGAATTTTTGTAATTTATTTTTAATTTAGATTTTATCATTTTAATTGGTTTTATTTATTTATTTTTGCTGAATTTAATTTTATTTGATATAATAAAATATTTATTATTAATAATTATATATTTTTTAAATTTATAAAATTTCAAAATAGTCTTTCAATATATTTTTTATTATATTTAAAATTTTCATAAATTTAAGAATATCCATATAATGCAGAAAAAAAGTGATTCTTACAAAATATTTTATTTTAAGAATTAACTTATATATATAAATTACAAATACAAATTCTTAAATTAAAGTATTTTTAAAATTTTGTCAAATTAAAGTAAATTTAGGAGTTGACTTTTCTTTCTTTTTATGCCAAATAATTATTTTTTCCATTAAGCAATACATTTCAATTCAATATTATTATTAATTTTATATTTTTATAATTTTTATTTAAAGTGTTTTTTATTTAATAAAATAAAATATTTACCAACTTCCATTTGTAATTCGTGAATCTAAATTTCTGCTGGTGTGTTTTTTGAAACCTTGTCAAATAAGAGTAGGAGTTATCTTTCTGATCCCGTCAAATAATTTTTTAATATTAAGTATTTATTTTCAGATAATATAAAAATTGAATTTTCAAATTCATTATTAATTTAAAATTTATCATTTCATTCATTTTTTATTTAATATACTAAATATTCATTATTCATATAATAAAATTTACTTTCTTAATTTATAAAAGTTATTAAATTTTAAAATAATCATTTAATTTTTTTAATTAATTATGAAAAATATTTTAATTCAATAATATCCATGGATTACATGGAAAAATAATTAATTTTTACAATATTTTATTTTAAGAATAAGAACTTACAATTAATATATAAAAATAATAATATTAACAATATTTTAATGCAAATTTTTTAATACGTACTTAGAAGGATATAATAAATTTATATTAAAATATAATATTTAATATATTAATAACATGAATAAAAATATTATTATTTATTTTATGATACATCATTAAATAGAATTAAAAAATGGTTTTGAATAACGGATTGCAAAAGTGGGAACAGATTAAAGGGAGGATTTTTGTTCCCTGAAAGACAAAATTAAAAAGAAAAAGAAAAGAACTAACACAAAATAATTTGGGATTGCTGCTTGGACCGAAGCATAAGCAAGACCGCGTGTGGTGCCGTGCCTGTTTCCGAGACCAACAAAACAGCCATTGCATCCCACTCCCTTCTCTCTCTCTCTCTTTCTGTTTGAAGCAAACAACAAAACTAAATTATAATCCACTCACTCCCCCTCTCAATAAAACCCTCTTCCGATCCATCCATTTTCTCCGTCGGATTCAATTCATTCTTCGCGGAACACAAAAACGAAAGGGAAAAATCATCGAAGGTGGCCATCGATGAATGGATCTCGGGTTTGATGTAATTATTGGATGGTTCTGGAGATTCGTCCCGTGATGGGATTAAAATCAGTGGGCATAGGTTGCTTGCGCAGTCCATGGATGAGAAGCGAAGGGCAATAATGGAAGTGAAATTGGGGAAAGTGAATCTCTCTCTCAGTTGAATTGCGTCTCTCTCTCTCACTCTCTCTCTCTCTCTGTCTCTCTGTCTCTCTCTCTCCTCTTTCTCTTTCTCTCGGTCATGGATGGGGTTAGACCTCGTGATAAAGCGGAGCAGCCTCAGTCCAGAGACTTCGCCACCGCGTCGTCATCGTCGTCGGGATGGCGTCCCCGAGGGTTTGCGTTCGTTCCTTGTGTGCCTAAGGGTGAAGGAGAAGGAGAAGAAGTTACTGCTGCTCAGAAGTCGCAACCGTTGCGCCTCGTTGTGAGGAAACCTGTGAGTTTTTTTTTTTTTTGTTGATGTTTTATGGTTTTTGATTAACGGTGATTCCTTTGTTGCTGTTATTGCGTTTTTGAATTGGCTTGTTTTGTGTTTTAGGAAACGGTCATGATCAAAGTGCTGCAGTGAGAGTTTTTTTACTGAAAACCAATTGTGTGCGGTGTTTGACTTTGAAACTAGTTGAGTGATATTACTCTTGAGTTGTGGTTAGTGGAGTCTTCGATAGATACTATAAGTTTTCTAGGTTTGGTGGACTAATATTGTAGACACTGTTATTATTGTTTACTTTGCATAGTGTTGGCTTCTTATCCTATTTTGTCTTCGTCCTTCTTCCTCACAGCAACACATGAACAAATGAAAGAAGCTGGCCAAGTGGGGGAAAGAAAAAGATAATGGCATAATGAGTGGAATTATATCACAATGTTTGTTGTCCAGTAGTAGAGAGAGTAAATGATCTCATTTATCAGTTGCTGATTATCGCTTGTGTAATAAATTGAATGCCCACATACCATGTTATTCATTTATATTGGATCCAGACGCTGTGCTTTTTAATGCTGGTTATTATTTAAGGTGATTTGCTCACGTGAAACAAGGACAGAGGCTCCAATTTCCTTACAAAACTCTTCTATCTACAACTTCTATAGTGTTGAAGATTACATATTTCTCTTCGAATTTTCACATTTTTCATAAATGATAGGAAGTTTCTAAATTGGAGTATCATTTGGATCTTGTTGATTTTGTTGAATTGAGCTACTGATGTTTTCCAGGTTTGTAGTCCAAATAAGGCTCTTTTGCTTGTTATGCATGTTATGCATGATGTGTATTCAGAATCTGTTCATCATCTGTTGTTGCATCTTTTTGTTACTGATTCCTTATTAAATATATTGTTTGGCCTGTTGGTCAACACTGAGTGTGTCCTATGTCCTTGGAGCAATATCTATTGACTATCTTAGGTGGTTTGGTTTATGGAGGCTAAATCGTTATCCGCATTGGTTTAGTATAGAAAATTTTCTTGACAATGTACAATTTTTTCTACTATTTGGCGCATTTGGTTGAAGTGAAGCAAACAGTTTCATTTAGCTTAGAAGCTGATTTAGGATAAGATTAGGTAACTATGTTCTATTTAATGTAAAGCACATGGTCTTCCTAAGGTGGTTTCTGTAACAAACATGGAGAGGGCTTGGGCAACTGTACCCCTTTTGATATTATATATTTTTGTCTGTCGTATATATTTTCCCTTTGATAGCCAAAGAGTTTGTTAAGAAAGAAGCGACAGATACAAATGTAAGGGCATAAGAAATCCCAAAGAACTAAGATGTCATGCTGGAAGAAAACAGAAAAGAACAAAAACCATAGATTAAGAAACCTGCAATACCATGTCAATCTCTCTGTAATTCTAACAAAAACATGCCCTAAAAAGACCATGAGTAGAGACTGCAAGAAAGCTATAAGCTATAAAACCTACTCTGTCCTGATGAACTCAGTAGAAGACAGCAATCGAGAAGATATTCTAGCATTTCTTTCCACCCAAATACACCAAAGAATCACAAACTGAGAACAATGCCAAAGCTTTTTGGCATCTCTGCTAGTACGAAATCTTGTATTTTCCCTTTGCCCAATATGGAGTTTCCTTCTATCCTCCCAATCCCTTGTAATTTTCTTCTCACTGTTATAATGGATTTCTTCTGTTATCATGAAAGGTATGTGATTTTGGTCTTCGTATGGTGTAAATGATTGTGGGACTTAAAAATCAGTTGCTGTGTATTTTTTCACCCCCCTGTCCAATGCACAATATTGCTTTGGAGAAAATATGGGTTTATATATATATATGTGTGTGTGTATTTATTTATTTATTGAAGATGAAATTTGTCATGAGTTAAGACAGGGAAAAATTAAAGTAAATGATTATGGAGAATAAGGAATCATCCTTAATGTTAGAACAAAACACACACAAATTCTATCTAGCAAAGACTGTCGAGTTCCTCAGCATATCGAGTATGGAAATTCCCATAAAAAGGCCATGTTTTGCACCAATTATTAGTCAATGGCTATGTTAGGATCCAATTGGCCTTGATTCCCGAATTGGAAGTATGGGATTCTAATGTGGGGTTTATAAGGCCTTGGGTTCTCCAACTATAATGGCTAACTGTTTTGGTATGGTTGTCCTAAGGTTCTTATCAATCAGTATCAGTGCTTGCCACCATATCTCTCAACTGCAATTGAGTGATGCTAATGGTAATGCCGGCATTGAAGTTATCGCTTGGGTGCACAGCTAGCCTGTGCGAGTGTTGGGACTGCAGAGTGTGGTGGGATGTTAGGATCCAGTTTCTTTGAGGTACAGTCGTGGTTGGTCTTGACTCTTGATCAATTCTGTCCTCATCTCTTCAAATCCAGACTAGAGGATTTGATCTCTTGACACCTTGGGTTTATTTTCAGGCAAATCTTACTTCTACTCTCTCACTTCCTCTCTGATGATGATTCTTTCCTTTTTGATAATCCAATTTGGAAAACAATTGCTCACTCAAAATTTAAGTCTTTTGTTTGGGCTGATGTTCTAAGCCAGATTAATGCCACATATTTAATAAAAATTCAAAGACCTCTAACTGCATTGTCTCCTGATTATTGTGTTATGTGCAGATTGAGTTCTGAAAACACTTCTCTATTCCTTTTCGCTTTTGCATTGATCAGAAGTTTTCTCTTTGAATTAATTTGTTTGGTGTTTTTTGTGAAGATTGGGTTTTCACCAAGGATCTCCAAGCGTTCCTAGTGTTTTAATTTTAGAGTTTTTGCCACAATGGAGATGCTAAGTAGGCTTTGGCATTGTTCTCAATCAGTGGATGTTTGATGTATATGTTTGGTGGGGGTGTCTTCGGTCGATCTAGGGAGATTGGTTTGCTGTGTTACAGCTATCACATTTTTATTTTTTGTTTTCATCTTTCTTTCTTTAGGTTTTGAGGATTCATTATTCTCTTGCACTTGTATCACTCCTTTCTTTTCGTACTAAATTCTGTTTATTAAAAGGAAACAATTTATTTTGTTGCCTGTTAGAGATGTAATGTATATGCATTCGTGTGTTACATAATATATATAGATCACTGCCTAGCAAATATTTCTTAGCCGACGCCTCATCATCTTACGATGTAAAGCAGGTTCCCTATTGCTGTAACATCATTTTTATATAAGATGGCAATTTGATACATTTTGATGTTCTCATATATATGTGGCTGTTTGGAGCTTATGGTACCTAAAATTTTGAACTGATGCTCAGCTTCTAATTTACAGTTGGTGGCTAGATTGACCAAGGAAATAGTGGAAACATACCAAATCTGCAATCCACAGTTTAAATATTCTGAAGATCTAAATCCAAAAAGATTTTTGACTAGTCCATCCGTTGGAGTGCTTAATGATGGCTATGATAATGTAAACTCAGATCTTATTCTGACAGTGAATTTTGTCTTGATCCATTTAGAGAAAAATAAAAGGTTTGTCATTTATATTTCCTTCCTTTGTTTTATGATATATCACTATATATTTCTTTATGAATACCGAAAGCTGTGTGTTGATTTCAGTTGCTACTAAAGGTGTCATCTGATAAGAACTCAGTTAATTGAATAGAATACAATGCCAAATAAACAACCAGAACTAGTCTCAGATCAATACTCAACAGTATTTGAAAATGCACCACAACAAAAGCTTTGAAACCAAAACAAGCACAGCAAGGTCCCTTTCTATGCTAAATAACCAACAGAAAAGCCTCTCTGTCATGCTATCCTCCCCATCCCCATCCTATATACCGCCAAAGGCTCTGACAAATTCTCCTAACTAACTTCTGCCATGCTGGCATTCCCATCCTCCTGTGCCTTCTTTCTTCTACTATACACCTTCCAGACCTTGGGCCTTGTTGGCCCAATAAGAAACTCATCTACTGAGTTATTGGGCATATAATCATCTTACTTGTTTGGCAACCTCCGTTTGTCTTCATAAACTTTGCATTTTGATATGGTGCAGATATATTGTCAAAGATGTCCTTGGTCATGGGACATTTGGACAAGTGGCTAAATGCTGGGATTCAGATACCAACAGTTTTGTTGCTGTGAAGATCATTAAAAATCAACCAGCATACTATCAACAGGCGCTGGTTGAAGTAACTATTTTAACAACGGTAACGTTATTGTTGTTATTATTTTTGAGATGCTAGTCATTTTTCTTGGAAGTGCAACCATGAGAAGTGCTCAGGTATACTCTATTTTTTTCCTACAGTTAAATAAGAAGTATGATCCTGAGGATAAGCATCACATTGTTCGTATATATGATTATTTTGTATATCAACGACACTTGTGCATTTGCTTTGAATTGCTGGACACAAACTTGTAAGTTCTGCACCTCCCCCCCCCCCCCCCCCCTCTCTCTTTTAGCATTTGTCCTGCTATCATCATTGATAATGCATTTAAAGAGCTTTAATGGTGTTCAAGTTCTACTGTACTAAAATATTCGATTAGTTTTGCTATGTTGCTATCCTGGATTTGTTATTTTCTCCCTCTTGCATATTTTGGGGTTGACATAATGTAGTGTACAGGTATGAGCTTATCAAGATGAATCATTTTAGGGGATTGTCACTTGGTATTGTTCAGCTATTCTCTAAGCAGGTATGTCAATTTTTTTTATTTGTATGACCTTTACTTGGTCCTTTTGTTGGTTTTGCTTTCTTACCATACTCTATTTTCTTAAATTGATGTTTAAAGATTTTATGTGGACTGGCTCTTTTAAAAGAGGCTGGCATTATTCATTGTGATCTGAAGCCAGAAAACATTCTTTTATGTACAAGGTTGGTTTCTTACATGAAGGTGCTCATAAAGAACTATGTGCTGCAGCCATTCTTAAGGATTAACTCCTCTTAAGCGAGGGATTAGAGAGTATAATGAGGAGTTATAACCAATGATCAGAAAATCAACAATTGAGATTAAAATAACTATGCAATTACATGTACATGCATTTAATTACAGTCTCAACCATTAATTTTTTTAATCATTGGTTATAAATCCTCACTTTACTCTCTAGAGGAGTCAAATCCCTCACTCTAGAGGAGTCAAATCCCTATCTTCAATTCAATATATGCTGCAGCTATTTCATCTTGAGATTTGATGTAATTATGTTTCATGTGTAGCACTGTGAAGCCAGCAGAAATCAAGATTATTGACTTTGGATCAGCATGCATGGAAAACCGCACGGTTTACTCTTATATTCAGGTTCACATTTACTTTAGAAAGTATGCTTTTATGATAATTCCTATTGTGATTATAATTGTTTGGTTCTTACACTTATTCCCCTGTTTTTGTTGCAGAGTCGATACTATAGATCACCTGAGGTTCTTCTTGGATATCAGTATCCTAAGTGATGAAATCAGTAGTTGATCTGTTCTTTTCATGTGATTTTACATTTGGGGTTTCTTTTCATTATTTTATTGCTTTAACTTCTGTTACTTTATCTTTCTACATTGCAATTTTCAACGTGTGATTGGCTTAGTATTCTTGATTGCTTGTAATGTAAAAATTGTGCTGCTGCTTGTGGAACTATAGTTTGGCAGAATGTGGTTTTAAACTGGGGAGGAATTGAACTTTGAGAAAGCTTTGTCAATTAAAGCTTCTACATTTACTTTTTGCTTGGTATTTTACTTCATATGGCTTAGTTGGGGAGAATCATTGATGAAAGTTTTAAATTTTAGGTCTGGAACTATTGTTCAGCAACTTGTGGCATGTTTTTCTTCCATTTATTCAAGGGTACAGGTTGGGGGTGGTGGAATGAATTTGGTTGATTCTCTGAAATCTTGTCTTTCTTTGTACTCTAATGTCAGTTGTACTAAAATCTTATGATAGGTTCATTATACTCACATTTGAACGTGGTTTTCAATATCCCCTCATGCCTCATTGGTACTAATGAAGTAATTTAAAGTTTTAAACATATGTTAGATACCTGAGAGCATTGAGATGTTTGATTGACTGAGCAGCATTCCCTTCTTTAAATTGATGGCATACCACACATTCTTAATGTATATTTTTCAGACGTTTTGTTTTCTCTTTTTCGATAATTTATTTTCAGGCTATTTTTTTGTACTCCTTGCTTCATTTTGGTCCTTGACTCTTATCAGATACTCAACAGCTATAGATATGTGGTCCTTTGGGTGCATAGTGGCAGAATTGTTTCTTGGATTACCATTATTCCCTGGGGCTTCAGAATTTGATCTTTTGAAACGGATGATTGAAATACTTGGGTATGCCACTTTCTCTCAAGGATGAAACATTTTAATGATGTGGCTATGCAATTTATATAGAAAAAAAATATGACATCACCTTTAAGATAATTTCTTTTCTTTATTTAATTATATTTTACATGTTAGTTAAAAGAAAATTGGTCAGAGGAATTTGATTATCTAGCTTCATTTTGCAAGGTTTCTCCTGCAATGATATGGAAACAAAATGGTTCCACATTTTGCAGACCAAAATTTTATATATAGGGTTTGGTACCTCAGAAGTTAGAGGAGGGGGGAGGGGTGCAGTGAAAAAAATTTCAGTTCAAGAGTCTGTACTCCTTCCATTAAAACTGTGATTCTGACACCTAACACATATGGCTATTTTTTTTTCCCTTTTTTTAAAAAGATAAAGTGATTTTTTTTTTTCAAATTAAGAGTAATAAGTGAAAACTGTCAAAGCAGTAGGTACTGCAAGAGTACTCAGAATTCTCCCTGTACATGTGCATGTATTTTATCACAATCACAATCATTGATTTTTTAATGAACAAATACCACACACACACACACACACACATATATATATGTTATGTACAGAGCTGTACGACTTACATTATTACAAGAAAATTACAAAAGAAACATCTAAAAACTAAGAGATTGGGTTTTGTAAAGGCATGGCAATCAGCTTCCATGTCTAACAAAGAAACATCCTAACAACATCAAATGGGCAGATCGTCATAGACAATGTAAGACACAATAACCCTTTGTCAAATGTTGTCTTGAGATGAAGTTCCTTGAGATGAAGTTCCTTGAAAGTTTCAGCATTCCTTTCCAAACAAAAGACAGCACAAAACAATGCCTGCACTGCCACAGAATCTTAGCTTCTTTTCAAAAGCTGAAACCTCAAAATTTAATAATGACATGTAACTGATGTAGGTCCATAGGGCAGATCCAATTCTCATAAAGCATCCCAAAAACCTTATTCTAAATAAAATTTGTAGAACAATGCATAAAAAGGCAGATCATCTGTGACTGAGTGGACATGAGAAGGGCTAGAGGTTGAGATTGTGAAACTCACATTTTGTGCCAATAATCTGTTGCATAGTAATTGATAGTGCACTGTAGCATGTGGAATAGTTGGCTGCTATAGGGTGTCTGCCATGGGGAGTTTTCATGGTTGTGGCTGTGACAACCAAATCGTGGCCCAACTTGTGGGCTATTCAAGGTGCTATAGCACATGATCATGGGTTTTGAAAGACACCTTTGCCCCTGCTCCAGCAGTGTTTGGTGCGTCTTTTAGGGGTAAAAGTGATACTTTATATAGGTGAGACCTAAAAGAAAAAACCTTGTTCCCCCATTCATCTGTGACTGTGTTCTATGAGGAGCCAAATAAATAGCCTTCTCCGTTCCTCTTCTTTGGAGACCACCTCTTCTCTGGTTGTTTTCTGGGCTCTGTCCCTTTTTTTAGTTTTTCCCTCTCCTATTCTATTTTTTTCAATTCTGTTTTTCCCTCTCCCATTCTCTTTTACTCCCCCATTTTTTTTTTTTGTTTTTCCATATTATTTTGTTTTCTTGATTCTATTTTTCTTTTTTCACTTCAAAGTTTCCTACTCCATGTTTATTTTTAATTCTCTATTTTTCTGTTATAACTTCAGTTTTTTTTCCCTCTATTTTACAACCATTCTTATTCTTTTTTCCTCAAGACATTCTTTCTTTTATGTATAGTTAGTTTTCTAGTTTTATATCACATTTTGCAATATATATATATATATATATATATAGATAAACACTCTTACACCCAATCTGAACTTTTCATTTAACTTGCATCTAACAGTTAGTGAAGTAATAAATTATAACCCGTTAGATGTAAGTTAAACGAAAGGTTCATATTTGGTGTAAGAGTTTGTAGACTTACACCAATGTTAGAAGATCCTGCCTTTTATATATATATATAATTCTATTATGATTGCCATGCTTTCGCCATGGCATCTGCCATTATGGCAGTTTTTTTGCTTTCCGCCATGACCTGCCATCCATCATTGATAATATTGACAGTTACATACTTTAATATTTTTAACATATATTATTTATGTTTCTCACCAAAGCATAAAAGTTAAAATTACCCTTCTCTCATCAACCCCATCAAATTAAGGATGAGATTCAAAATGTGGAAAAGTTATTTTGCTCTTCAAATAGGAGCTAGGCTTTGGAAATTGGAAAGTCTTGCTATGATGAATGAAGGAGTGAAATGAGTCCATTGTGCCTTCCATCTTCTCATTATGCTTAAGGGTCTATCTTTGCTGCTTCTCTCTTGCTTTCCCCTGCCCCCCAAATCCCTGTCCTTATTATCCTATAGCTTCCTTTGTGGTTGCTCTTGAGATTTCAATCTGGTTGATGATGGTAGTGGTTATTAGAATCATGGTGGCATTTGCTCTGATGCTTGTGGTGTTGATCTCAGCTTATCTTGTTGGATTTGTCTCTGTTGTCCATTAGGATTTAGGAGATGCTATTGTCCTTTTGTCTTTGTCCTTTGATCATTTTTTTTGGTAATACATGACCCATCTGGTTCACTATACACTGGCATGTAACTGGTTTAGCATAAATCTGGCATTTCCAAACCAGTTCATAGTGTTTGATATGCATATATGTGTTCCATTGTGTTTTTCTGAGTTTGGACTGGTTGGTTGACTGGTTCACCAGTTGAACTTCCCTGGTATGAAATGAGTTTTACATCACTCTTTCTATGCTCCAAAAAAGTCCCACACTCGAAGGTTGTTTTCAACTGACGCAGTGGATTCCACCAGTGACATCACAAGGTGTTTGTCGCCTGCTTCCACCCCACAAGTCTTTTAACATCTAATCTTCTCTCTATCCCTCTCTCAGACAGAGATGATGTGTAGTTATTAGATTTTGAATGTGAATAAAACAATATTAGATTTGGTTCTTGTCTACAAATTAGTTGGTTTGCTATATTATTTTTACTATTTTGATTAACGTTATAGATGTTGTGGATATATTGTAGAGGACAACCACCTGATTATGTATTAAGGGATGCCAAAAACACAAGTAAATTCTTTAAGTGTATTGGGAGTCTCCAGAACATAGAGAACAGCGAGAGTTCCAAAAATGGAAGAAGTGTTTATCAAGCATTGACAGTGGAAGAATATGAAGCTGTAAGTTTTACATCCTTACTGTAGGATCTCTTCAAATCCTTTTCTCCTTTTGGTTCCCTTTTGAAGTATTACATATATATTATCATATATCTGGTTCCTGTTCAGCGAGAAATGAAGAAGCCATCAATTGGAAAAGAGTATTTTCATCATATGAATCTTGAAGCAATTGTTACAAACTATCCGTACAGAAAAAACCTACCCAAAGAAGATATTGTCAAAGGTTAGCTTCCCAGAAAGGCTGGAAATTTCTTCTCAACTTGATTTTGCTATTTTATTTTCTGTGCATGTTTTATTTCTCTTATTCAAGTTGGCATTAATGAATACTATCTAAACTTCACTTGTAATAGAAAGTCAAGCACGACTGGCTCTTATTGATTTTTTAAAAGGGCTTGTTGAATTTGATCCTGCAAAACGCTGGTCACCATTTCAGGTAATTGGCGTTGTCTAATTATCCTCACTGATGCATCCTTCAAACTAAATTTGTCATGAGTTGATGCAGAATTTAAGCTGTGTTAGTTTGTTTTCTTGCAGGCTTCAAAACACCCTTTTGTAACTGGGGAACCTTTTACACACCCCTACAAGCCTCCCCCTGAGACTCCTCACATGGTCAGTAAATCTAGCATTTATATTTTTATATTTAGGTTGAACTATTTATTCAGTACTGAGTACTCACAGTCCTTTCAAAAATAATATTTAGGGGCCTTATTTCAAATGTTTAATTAATGACTTGTATCACGGATGTATCATGATTCATTAAGATTGAACCAGAGAACATTGGTCTAAAACGAGTTAGATTTACTGAGAATACACTGCTATGGGTGTAGTTGAAGATTCATTAAACCAGAGAATACAGCTCACATATACCTTCTTTTATTGATAGATGCAATAGGAAATTAAAATTGTGTAATTAGGATTCATGTAGATGCAAATGTATTGAGCTTCCATCGCTATTCCATCCAACAAATCCCTGTTTGCATTTTGTTCATTTTGGAATGAGTAAAAATGCGACAAAATAGGTTGAAATGGACAGTTTCAGTCAAATTTCCAACTTTTTTGTGGGAAGAACAGTTTTGGCTGGTAGCCAGGAGATCAGGTGTGTAGAGAGAGTTTTGTTCAAGAAGAGCTTGTTGGTTGTTGCATCAGACTGATCAGAGCATGTTACCCCGTTTGCCTCTGATTCTCCATTTCTCATTCCACCACTGCTGTGATCATCATCTTTGCAGTTCCCACTAGATTTTTCTCCAGTGGAATATGTAATGTTGTGTAAACAGTAGACAGGTAGCTATCTGTACTGTTGAATCAGACAAGCTCCCCCTGGATTCTTCGCTGACCATATGACTGTCATCTGCAATTGCACAGTAAAGTTTATCCAGTTTATCCTTTGTAAAGCTATTGTGAATTTGTGAGAAAATAAGCTGTTTGAAGACTTGGAATATAGATCATAATGATTCCTTCTCCATAATGATGTTCTACCAATTTCCTTGTGTTTGATCCTGTCATAATAAACAGGATTCTTATCAATGCTGATTGTAGCCTGATCCTCAAAAATATTTTATTGACCTTCCATATGTGATCTTTCAGTTCATCAAGTAATCTTTTTAACCAGATTCCTTGAAATATGCTATTTTGTCATTGCTTGGAATTCAGCTTCTGCGGTGCTGTGATCTATGACAAAATGTTTCTTGCTTCTCCAAGTTTAACAGATTTTCTCATGTATATGTACAACAGCCAGAAGTAGATATGAGATCTGTTATTGATCCTGCCAATAGGCATTGGATAATTTTTGGTATCACTTGTGTGTTAAAATTGTGTATCATTATTTCTTCCATTCAGTGTTAAGCGTTTGGGTTCAATGTATCATGTAAAAAATAGTTTCTAAGAAAGTTGTATCGTTGTATCTATAATATTCTTGATGAAAATATTGAGTTTGTAATGTAGTTAAGACAGTTTTCAGCATATTTTTTTCACGCCTCCCTCTTTCTCAACACCTATTTGCTTTTAAGTTGTGAGTGATTATGATGAGCAGCTTGGGAGAACCTCACCACAAAAGCTAGCTGTTGTAGTTGGAAAGCTCAAGGCCTTATAAACTCTGCACTAGAATCCCATTCTTCCAATGTGGGACTCAAGTCCCATACCTTGCAATTAGGATCCTAACAGATTATTGTTTTACAAATTTCATGCATTTTTGTTCTCTTCATGTTATTTATTGCTATATTCCCACCATTTAATCTGTCTATTTTATTTTGATTTTGTTGTTCAGTTGTTCTATCTTGCAGTTATTTGATCGATGCATAACTTTCAATATCTTCATCATCTAATGTTCATTTAATTTATTTGTGACCTTATAGCCTGTAGTTCAAAATATCAAGGTGGATAATCATCCAGGCGGCGGACACTGGTTTGCTGCTGGTCTATCACCTAATGTGAGCCTGCTACTACTGTAAATATTACTGCCTTTATCTCAAATATAGTGAAGTTCAAGGGATTGTATATTGTCACGCCCATGTGTCTAATGCTACTCCAATTTAAATTTTTTTTATGTAAATGTCCCTACTTTGATATAGTTATAAGAGAGAATATAGGGTATTTTAGACAAAAATCACTTCACAGGGAGTGGTAATAGATATGTATGGGTGTGGTAATAGACATGCCTGAAGTTGGATGCATTTATCATAACTCTTACATGTTAAAATTTCAGAAAAAATACATAAGATGGGCACTGCCTAATCTCAAACTGAATTCATGAAGGTAAAAAACATATAGTCCTGTGAAGTAAAAGCTATAGTGACCCAACCTCATGGTGGCCTAGATAATTTCTCTTTTCCTAATATAGAAATTGTATGATCTAATCAGTGAGTACACAATAAAAAATAAAGCAGAAGCAGCTGCATGGTTAAGCTTAGCTGTGCACACCATTTATATATGATTTCAGAGTTGTAATAAAACAAACAATAATCTAATTAACTGAAAAATCTGGGAACAGGTATAGCTAGATGTTGGTTGTGGACCAGGATTCTGCTTTGGCATGGCCCACGTGCCCAATCAGAGTTGGAGATAAGACCAAACTATGGTGCTTGCTGATGTGCTTAATAGAACAGTTGCACCCTAAGTTTCCTAACTTATAACTATAATTTCCTATCTAGTGGCAATTACTCAATCCAACAAGTTATATCAGAGAAAATTTATGAATTTAATTTCCAATTCGGTATGGATTACTAGCATATTCTTGGATGGGGATGGCTTGTTGTATGCGATTGCCAACTTTCTGCCTTGCAAGTGCGTTTTTCTCTTAAATTACAAAGTGATTATTGCCATCCAAAACCACAATGTGATAACATACAAAGCACACCAGCATTACCACTAGTGTTAAAATAATCAAATAAAATCTCCACTAGTTTTTGGGATGTACTCATGAATTACCAAATGCTTCCAAAAATTTACTGGTGGGTAGCAGCTGGGAAATGTAGAACTAAATGTGCTGTTTTTCCTTAAATGGAAATGCACATCATACATATATCACAGTTCACAAGACAAACTTGTTAGGAGTTCAAATGTGACTTGAACATGGGAAGTATTGTCGAGTCTGAAAGCGACTTGCAACAAAATTCATTTCCACTGAAATTAATAAACCTTTTTATGTTTAAAATCCAACAATATGTTTTCTAACATCAGCATAGGTATTTTCCTGAGAGTGAACTGTTTAACACAAAAAGTAGCTCTTTATTGACCTATAATTCCTAATACCCACCTCATCTTGCAGAAAATTGCCCATCGTTCTATTCTGCAATTTGAAATTTGAAACTTAATCATCCTTCTATTCCAATTTTCTAATCATGTTATCATGTAATTTGGTTTTTGACTAAGCTCAATGGTTTCGTATGATTCATGTAATTGACCTCACACAACAGAACAAGGCTTGATTGTTGTTGCTGCTGCTACTACATAATTTGGAATATATGTAAATGATATTCAATTCTGAAATAAAATTTTCCCATTCTTCCTAGTTGACTGGATTTTGTTCCTCCAGGTTCAAGGAAAGAGCAGAGCTTCCCTCTATAGCAGTCCACATTTTCAGATGGTTCAACATCCATCTAATAGTTATGGAAGTGTAGGAAGCCATGGGAGCTATAATGACAGTGCTGGGCTTGGAAGCAGCTATGGGAGTTATGGAGAGAGCAGTAACATGTTTGCTTATTATTCACCAATTGCTCCATCTGGTATGAACATGCATAATCAGGGCAATATGTCAATGCTTGGAAATAGTCCTGATGCTAGGAGGAGAGTTAAGTACCAACCTGGGAATGGGCTGGGCGTAAGTCCATCAGCTGGAAATTTTGCTCCTCTGCCTCTTGGTGCCAGCCCATCTCAATTTACTCCACCAAGTTCCTATAGTCAGGTTTCAGTTGGTTCTCCAGGACACTATGGACCTACATCTCCTGCAAGAGGAACTTCTCATGGATCACCTTTAGGCAAGACATCTGCAGTTAGCCAGTTTAATAGAAGAAAAAATTGGGGACATTCTGGAAGTCCTCAAACTCAAGAAACTACATTTTGTTCACATTGGCAAGGCCAATATCCTGACAGCACTAGCCATACTGAGGGAACATCACAAGCTCTTGGCAGTTCACCATCATATCTACAGTCAAATAGCAATCCTGGAAACTGGAAGCAGCGAGGTAGTGGAGGGTTATCAGCAAATCAGAACATTTCATGCTTGGTTATGCCCAGTTGTAGCATGAACTCACAATCAACAGAATTGGTTCGTGACAATGTGGACACAGGCATTTCATTGCCTGATCCTGGAGATTGGGACCCTAATTATAGGTACACACAAATTGGCTCCCAAAGAGCTTATTTTTCATTTACCATTTTCTATTTAAAATTTATATATTGGATGCCTGATTTTGTATGTTTCATGCAACATTAATTTTTATAAAATGAGTCTCATGTTGACTTATTGAGGATTTTATTTGTTTATGACACAAAAAGTGAAAGAGGACAATTAATGGGAGTGGAGAGTTTATAGAGGAAAGTGGAGTATGGGAGATGGCAGGAAAAACCAATGTTATAAAACTTGGAGCAGACTGACCAGTTCAGCCAGTGAGCCAGTCCAGTAACCGGTCCAAGCAAGTGAAAAGATCATTTGTGCATGCAAACAAGTGTAAACTGATAAGAAACTTGGGAAAACCACACCACATAAGCTAGCCATTGTAGTTGGAGAGCCCAAAGCCTTATAAATCCCCACATTACAATTCCATACTTCCAATGTGCGACTCAAACCCTGCAATTAGAATTCTAATGTGTCCTGGCTGTGCAGTAGCCCGTTGACTGGTCTGGGTGAAAACTGCAATGCTGGTGTTACCACCCACACTGCTCTTTTGCAGTTGAGAGACACGGTGGTAGGTTCAGGTGCCAATTGATGAGAACCTTAGGAAAACCACAACACAAAAGCTAGTCTTTGTAGTTGAAGAGCCAAAGGTCTTATAAAACCAATGTTACAATCCCATACTTTCAATGTGGGACTCAAATCTCATAGCAATTGGATCCTAACATAAACCAATTGACTCAATCAGTTTTTGAAAGAAGCTTCAAGCTAGTGAATTAGTTGATATTGAACTGGCTTAGTAATGCAAGAATAATCAAAATGAAAAACGAAGTTGAAGGCAAAAAAATAACTATGCTTCTTTGACATTGTATAGATCAGAGAAAGAGGATGAATACCGAATCAGGGGAGCAAAATGCAAAGGCTTGATTTATCAGCATCTTCCTCCCATGAGCAAAAACATAATTTTACTAGATGAAGAAATAAAATTAGAAAGAGAGAAGGGCATTTGAGGCAGAATGATTCCATACAGTGAAAAAACAATAGAGGACATCAATAGGTAGCCTCTAGTTGGGTAGAATAAAAAGTTAGAGATATAATTAGTTAGTTAGGCAGTTAGTTAATTTGGGGCTAGGATCATTAGAGAGAAATATGCCATGTTGCTTACAAATAAGAAAAGGGGTTGAGAGGAGGATTTTATCTTGTCAACTGAGAGGAAGTTGGAGCCTTTTGGCATTGGGAGGTGTAGACCCTTGAAATTCTGCAGCATTCTGGCCTTTTTTAGTTGGGGTTTATCCCTATTTCTTTCTAATAAGATACCAGGTTCCTATCAACTGGTATCAGAGCTCTGATCTTGGAGCTGTGGTTACTTAATTCCTGAAGATGATTCCAGAATTTGAAGGGAAAGAAGCCTATTGGTTACTGATTAATGTGGAGTAGCACTTTGAGGCCACTGCAATAATTGAGGAAGAAAAGAGACAAAAGGTGGGAAAGGTTAAGCGAGGTTGTGCTTTTAATTGACAGTTTGTGTGGAAAGGGATCATCCAAGTGCCTCATGGTGGGATTTCATGAAGGCTTTGCTTAAAGAATTCCATCCTGAATTTGACCCTGATCTGCCAGTTTGAGTTGAAGAAGGTTCTTGGGTTCAAGAAAACACAACAGAGAATGAAATTTTGGAGAGCAAAGAACCAACAGGTTGGAGGCCAGAAACAAACACTAAAACAGGTGCAATTGTCCAAGAAAAAGAATAAGAATCGTGGTTGCTAGAAATCTTGGAACTAGCGACAAACAAGGAAGAGGAAATCCAAAAGGAACATGTTCACTTCACATTTTGGGTCAAGAACAAGAATTGGGAAAGTTCAGAGGATTGGAAAAAGGGGTTGAAATAAAGAGATCAATGAGTTCATATTGGTCTGAAAAGGCATTCATTTTTGAGAAGATGAATGGGGTGCGCAGAAAGGAAACAAACAGAGCATCACTTGGATTGTGAAGATTAGGGGATGGGTGACTATAATCCAAGAAAATTTTGAGATATGAAGGAATTGGTCAGCTCACCCCTACATCAAACCATGATTCGTCTATGACATTCAGTCAGCTCACTACTGCTTCCAGAACTGCCAAAAGGGACTCTGTATGCTGACTTGGAGATGCAGAGCTGAAAAAGTGCCGACAGCAAAACTGGAAGCAGACAAATGCAGCCGCAGCAGCAGGACATGCCATAAAGGAGAACAGTGTACTACCCATATTACAGCTCATGATCTGCAAACATGCACAGCAACTAAAGCAGTAGGGATGATGCTGTTTCATGGCCAAAAAAAAATATGGAAGAAACCAGAGAACCAGAGGAGCATTTGAGCACTCACATATATGTATTTGACCTAGGAGTAAAAGCTATTGTTGGCTTCAAGGTGTAATTTGGCTTGATCATCATGCTTCAAATAGTTGCAACTTTGCATGGGTGGACCCAATAGGACTAGACATCTGAGGGCAGCCTAACATTCAAATTGAATAGGCTCTAATACCATGTTAAGAAACTTGGGCCTAACTCACTCCCAAAAGTTAGCTCAAAGTAAGAGGACTACTCTAGCCCTTTTAAGGAGTATTTTGACTCTATTCTTAACCAATATGGGACATCTTAACGCATCCTTTCACACCCAGGACTGGACATCTGCACGGGTGGACCCAATAAGACTGGACATCTGTAAGCAGTCCAACATTCAAACTGAATAGGTTCTAATACTATGTTAAGAAACTTTGGCCTAACTCACTCCCAAAAGTTAGCTCATAGGAGAAGAAATACTCTATCCCTTATAAGGAGTATTCTGACTCTATTCCACGATGTGAGACATCTCAACAGTTAGAATAAATAGTATGTTAGAGGCAAAGTTAGTTATTTAGAGAGTTAGTTGGCAGCTGGGATCATTAGAGAAATATGGCATGTTGCTTATAAATGAGAAAAGGGGTTGAGAGGAAGATTTTATTTTGTCAATTGAGAGGAGATTGGAGCCTTTGGGCATGGAGAGGTGCAAACCCTCGAAGGTCTGCAGCATTCTATCTTTGTAATTGTTATTTAGCTCTATTTCATTCTAATAAGATACCAGGTTCCTATCAGACATTCTCTTCATCTTCAAACTGTAAAAGTGTATGTTTCTTCAATAAAAGAAGTGTTGATGAGATGTTGGATAGTGAGAGAGTATAAAATTGTGTAGGAGGATAGGCTACAAATGGTGGAAAGACCACATATATATATATATATATATATATACACATATATTAAAAAGACCTTTTACCAAGTATTCATAACCATAAAATATATTTCATAAAAATATTATAAATGTATAGCTTGACATAAAATATAATACCTCATATTATTATCATTTAATGTTTATAATGTTATTATGTGTATTAGTTCAACTTGTTCAACCAACGATTCATTGGTTTGATCAATGACCTAGACTGCTGATTGAATCAACTACTGGTCGGCGTTTTATAACAATGGAGAAAACTCAACCACCAATGCACACTCCTGCCTCAAGGGGAGCATCTAAAAGATTCTGATGGATATTGACATCTTTTCTTTTCAATGAACTTAACTACCTTGTAACTAGACATGAGATTACCTTTGCTACAAGTGTATCAAGTCAATCTTAGATTAGTTTGACAGTCAATGACATGTTATGGTCAAATTATTAGATACATTGCGAGTGAACTAAGGTAAAGGGTTATTTTATGAAAATAAGGCAATGCTTATATTGTTGGCTTTAAAGGCTTGACATGGCAAGAAAAGCAATTAATCAGTGGAATAGTGACGAGATAGGTCAGAAGATAGTACCATTCTGATACCATGTTACAGTTATGGTGTTTTTGGTACACGGGGGAGGGGGGGAACAAACTTGAAATTATAGTGAACTAAGGTATGCCTAGTGCACTTTGAGAGAGAAGATAGAGAGAACTAAACAACGAAAATAAAAAATACTGAAAAAGTCACATTATTCGAGTGACTTGCCTCCTGTTTATAGAAAATGACTGGGTCTGGCCCATTTAGGGACTTAAAACATTGTGCACAGCCGTGCAAGAGGCTTGTCATGGCTGTGCCAAGTTTTGCATGGGTGTCCAGATCCATACTTTCAATCAGCATGGGCATGCAACTTCATCTAATGAATCAACATGCGTGTCAATATTCAGCACATGTACAGCCCATTTTCCTCATTCTTACCCTCCTGTAGACCTCCAAGGTGCTTTTCTGCTTCAAATTGGGCCCTGCAAAGTGCTCTTTTGTCCATTTTTTCTCCTTTTGCATCTGATCATTTTGGGTCTTGTTCACCAATATGAAAAAACCAAAATTAAACAGAAAATACACATTTTTACCATTAAAACACTATAAATTGCTTAAATTTTCCTTTAGGAAAAATTTAGAATGATGATTTATCACATATGTGCATAGCTTGTTACACACGCGCGTGCACACACACACACACACCCATATGTATGTTTATATCCAAGGGCCTCTCAAAAGACTTGGTGATATTTGAATCAACAGAGTGAGTGGCAATGTCTTCTATTATTAAGTCCTTTTTCTCTATGAAATGGGAATCAATTTTGATGTGTTTGGTCCTCATGAAATACTAGATTTGTTGCACTTAAGATTAGAGAAAAAGAGAAGGAAATACTGAAAAGGTATGTATATTTCTGATAATCAAATCTGTACAAAGGTACCATAATATATAATTTAGGGAGAAGCTAAAAATATGGAAAGAATCAAGCTAAATCTGAGGAAATAATCCTAATTACATAATGAACAGCAAATCACCTAAATAAAGGCTATTTACATAAAAATAAATCAAATCATAATCAAACAATATCTCCTAGGATATCTCAATAATCTATGTAATATCTCAACACTCCCCCTCAAGCTAGAACATATAAATTATATGCATCAAGCTTGCCACATATGTAAGCTATCCTCGGTCCTCGAAGAGACTTAGTGAAGATATCTGCCAAT